ACGCACGGACCCGGCTTCCTGATTGGCCAGCTTCCCAACCAATCAGGAAGCCGGGCAGCGAGTCATTACACGTTGCCCAGCTTCCTGATTGTGCCACAACTGACGAGGGAGCATGGAGCCGGCTTCCCGCTAATCAGGAAGCTGGGCAGCGTGTAATGACTCGCTGCCTGGCTTCCTGATACCGTAAGTATCAGGCTAGGCATCGGAGCATTTGGGCGAGTACGAGTACTGGCCCAAATACTCGTTATCGGTGCATCCCTACTTCTAATGTATCTGGCTAAGTTCACCCTACAATTACTCTATGAACATAAAACAACTATATAAAACATGTACCTTGATTAATGCCTAGCACCATGTTTGACATCTGTTTGCGCTATGGTTGTCCAGCAATCAACATTGGGCCTCATGTGTGGTTCAGCCCTGGGTTATGCTATCTACATCTTTAACAGCACTGGGGCACAGAGGAAGGCTTTGCAGCCACATAACATTGATAGCATGGGAGATGGAGGGGGGGCTGAGTGACACCATCATATGCATTATGTCCTTGGTAAATGGCTGGCAGTTCACAATGCTGATAGCTGGATAACTGGAGCACATGCAGAATTCAAACATAATGCTATGTATTTATCAAGGTACATGTGTTATTTGGCTGTTTAATGTTCATTGATGATTTCTAGGGTGAACTATTCCAGCTCCGACTGGCAGAAACAGCTATTCCTTCTTGTTAAAACGTAATCAAACACTGATTTACTGCATCAGAAATTCTGAAAGTAGAATATAACGTCTAGTTTTGTTTTTAGATAAAGTCTCTTCTATGTAACCCTTTGTTAACCTATTTAGCACTAACTGCTTCCTCCCCCTGCATGTTACCTTTTTTCAAATTATTCATTTTTTATTTTTACTGATTATACGGATTTTTTTGCAGCAAAAATTAAACAAAATAACAAATAAACCCCATTTTTGACTTATCTGTAAAATCTTGGAGTATATCGCAGGACACAGGAAGTTAATTCTTGAACCAATGGGTTATGCAACTACCTTAAGGTGATTGGACACTGGTAAATCAAAGGCATGTATAACTCCTCCCACAGCCATCCTGCCTCAATTCTGTAGCAAGCAGCATAAGAGTGGATCACGCAAACCAGAGGAAAGGGCCTCGAGATGCATTCCACGATTTTACAGGCAAGACAAAAATCCAGTTTCTTGATTGTACACAGGAAACAGGGAGATAATTCTTGATCAGATGGGACATCCATAAGCATTCCAACAGAGGGGTGAGCGTCACAGCAAACAACAGCTAACAAGCCAGGGAAAACAACAACTAACCCCAACAGGGAACCATAATAGAAGGGGCTCACAAGTCAGAAGGCCATCTGAAAAACTTTGCGGCCAAAAGCTTGTTGGTTGTGTGCGTAGATGAAGCACTGAGATCTTGAGGAATGCTGAATTAAGTTTGACTTGCTTAGAAGAACATTACACGTGTATATATACAGCATTGTGCAAAAAACATAGAAGTTCCTGTGTATCATAGATAAGCATGCACATAGAGACTAACATTGCACTACAGCGCCATCTACACCTCAAAAGACAAATTACAGTATATGCTGTTGCATTTCCAACAGAGCTAACACCCGAAAGATAGGATTTATCCCACAGAGTACTTCCTGGGAGATAACTTCCTTGTGTTCGTGTAGGGATGACCACTTCCAATAGGCCTCTGTCCTTTAAGAGCTGGCCTTCAACAGTTAGGCTGTTACAGCAGGGTGGAATACCGGACCTTGGGACAGTAGGTCTGGATGATCAGGAATTTCCAATGGAGAGTCTGCCAGGAGCTTGAATATGTCGTCGTACCCTGGCCTCCTGGGCCAGTGCGGAGCAATCAGGATAACCAAAATGCCCTCCGTCTCCATCCTATGAAGAGTTTCAGGGAAGTGAAGGGATAGAACAGGTTTAACTGATCCCACAGAGTCACCAAGGCATCCATGGTGAAGGGCCAGGGATCCCTGGTCCTGGGGATAAAACTGTCCAGTTTGTTGGTATACCCCACTTGTGACAAAGGTCCTAAAACACCTCTGGGTAAAGTGACCTATCTCCAGGATCCTGTGTGGCCAGTCCAGCGAGCATTAGAAAAGAAAAAGATGGGTGAATGTGCAGTAAGAATCCCCATGGGGAGGCTGCGCAGCTGCCATACAGCTTCCCAGGCTGCCCATGGACCCCAGGGCAATGGCGCAAAACCCAACTTAAAGGGGGGACAGTGACCCCTAATCTCCCAACGCTGGAACCCAGAATCTGTGACCCTCAAGGGGAAGGGTCAAACTGGTTACCAGGGTGGAGACAAGCCTTTACTTACTACCCTCAGAGTGAGGGATGATATGGCAGCGCTGGTCACTTAAACAGGATATGCCTCTTTGTCCCTGAAAAAGGGGGTTTGCAGGGACACGGCTCCATGGTCCTGCACCTGTGAAGCCCCCTGCATCAACTACATTTTCTGCAAAAGGTGCCAAGGAAAGTCCCTCATGCAGGATTCAGTGCTCTAAAGATATTACAGGCCAGACCTACATCTTCCTTCTGGTAGGGCCAAGGCCTCATGGCTCTGCTGAAGAGAAACCAGTCCGGATAACTGCAGGGGCTCTGAGCAACATTAGGAAAAATTTAGGAAGAATCTTCATTAAGAATAGCAGGAAAGTATATACTTCTCTCAGAGCAAAGAGAAGGCACCCATCACCTAAGAACACTAGCAAAAAAACTGAGGCAGGCTGGGACTGCTAAGGGTAATACAGCGCTGCCTTACAGCTTTGATTGATTTGCCAATCACTTGAAGGTAGCTGCATAAACCATCAGTTGAAGAATGAACTCCCTGTGTACAATCAAGAAACTTTGAAATATTTGTTTGCCACGCTTTGTACTAAAAACAATATTTTGCTGTCAAAATAAACAGGAAAAAATGAAGAATAACATTAGCACTTTATATCTATAATAACGCTTGCTTTTAAATGCTCACTGGGCAAAATGGATAAAATGTGTTTTTTTTTTAATGTCTTTTTACCTTTAAATCAATAGAAAAAAGAAAAGACTGTACTTTATTTTGGTGATGTTTTCTTCAACTAATTTGAAGAAAACATCACCAAAATAAAGTACAGTCTTTCCCATAATCAATGTATGCCTAACTTCTTTATCTTAAAAAAAATGCATTGCTGGATCAACATGTCTATAGCTAAAAAATGAAAATGGCTCTGGGCCTCAACAAGGGAACTTCAATTACTGTATGTGGAAACAACTTATACCTTATTAATTATACATAAGCCTTTTTCTAATTTAGTGTTAATAACAATGTCCTTTCCTTTTCAATCCATAACCAGTGATTTTCTAACCCAGCAAAACATTAAAAAAAAAAAAAAAAAAAAGAAAACACACACACAACTTACATATAC